ATAAATAGAAAAAAACAGAAGGATGGAGAGAAAAAAACTTGTCTCTGTCTCATCTCATTTCCTTTGCAATCAAGAACACCAAACGCCAAAAAAGGGGGAAAGATCATAATTGAGGCCAACGAGTTGATGAAGAGAAAAAACACAATGAAAGAGTGTGACTTCAATTTTTATTCGTCGATTGTCGGAGAAAAAAATTAAAGAAGAAGAGAAGGGAGCAGATCTAGATCTGGAAAGGAGTTTGGGAGAGAAATAGAAAGGAGAGTTGAATATAAATTATTATTTTTCTCTCCTTCTTTGAAAAAGTAGCCATTAAAATGCGGAATAAAATAAAGTAAAATATTTAATGTAGAAACGGACAAAAATACCCTTCCCCACCCCGTTTCCAGCCCAACCGCACAATTGTCCACCCCTATATCTAGCGGTCCCTATTTATTACGGTCCGCCTTGCCAATTCCATAACAGATGACCATGGCTTGAATCCGCGCTCTCGAAAAAGAAAAGCGTGCTCTTTTTGTACAAAGTTCGCGAATCTTTTACGTTTTAAAAGAAATTTGTGTTTTGCCGAACTAGCACGGAAGCGTTGGCCATGTGTAGGCCAATTATGTGACCTAAGTATTAACCCTTCATAGAAGTAGTGTAGCCTTGTAGTCTCACCACATCAACAGTTGAGGGGGAACAAAAACTCTCTCGATCGTGCTCTCTCTTTTCGGAGGAGTGGGTCGGCAACCGCCTTCGTGCGCTAATGCCGTTCGGACTTCCCGCCGTCGTGCGGCGACGGGGCCTGGCTCTCAAGAGCGTCATGGCTATAAATCCCCTTCCTTTGGTGGGTGGGATTGTGCGTATTGTTTCCATTGTTCTTGACCCCAAATTTCTCATTGTTTCTCTCTTGTCCGAGGAATCGTCGACCATGGCAGTGGTGTAGTACGTGATGAGGATATGGCAGCCGGGGTGGCCCGAGGGGAGCTTTCCCTGATCAGACAGTTGTTTGGTGCTCCACCGCCGTTGTATGCTCTCAAGATGATGTTGGGTCAGGTGTGGCGCTACAAGGGTGACCTAAACATTTCCTGCGTGGAGGAGGGCTTGACCCAATTCCTACTCTCGTAGAAGGCTGATCTTCACAAAGCGGTTACCAAATCCCCCTGGATCTTTGACAATTTTATGCTGGTGTTGGCACGATGGGAAAATCCTTCTCCCGAAGTGGCCGAACAACTTCACTGGGCTTGAATGGCGGTTCAGCTTTGGAAGGTTTCGTTTGATTGCTTCATTGAGAAAATGGTCTGGCGGTTGGGTTCTTCCCTTGGGGTGCTCAACGACCCTCCCACGCTCCACCGCTCTGATATCTCGGGTGGGCTTTATGTTAGGGCGACGCCAATGCTAGACCTCACTGCTCCCTTGCCGGATGAGATTACTGCTGGGCACATTGATTCGACTCGAGGTAACTTCGTTGCAACCGTTAAACTTGAACGTGTTCCTCACTTTTGCTTCCTTTGTGGTGTAATTGGGCACATCGGAGAGGGCTGCCCCCATAAGGATGCCTTGGCTGGTGCTACCCCAAAATATGGCGTGTTCTCGGTGGCAACTGAATCGGGACCGCCAGTGACGGAAGATACCTGTCAAAGAGGCACCGGTGGTTCACTTGGATTCGTGTGGTCAAGAATCGCCCAACATCCTCGTGAGTGGCTGGACACTTGGCGTCCCTCCTCGAGACTTATGGGCGCCAACTTCCAGGCTCTTTCAACTGTTCCTTCCAGTTCGGAACCTGTCAATGCTGTAGCAGCCCCATTGGCGGAGGACACTATCATGGGTGATGGTACTGTCCCTAACTATGCTTCTCCTACAGCCAAACGGGCGCGCTCTGACTCATCAGCGTCGGCTACATTCTCTTCTCACTATGGTAAGGCGGTGGCATCCAGCCTCAATTGGGGCCAACCAGATCCATGAATTTTATGGTGTGGAATTGTCGGGGATGAGCTCCCCCTTGACAGTTCCCTCTCTTGGTGGAGTTGTTGCACGATTCTTGCCCAACCTTGTCTTTCTTAGCGAAACTAAATGGGATGATGACTTCGTCAAGTCCTAATTTGCAAGTATGGGGTACAAATCAGCAAGGTGTTTTAGTGCGTCTAATGGTAGTGGTGGTCTAGCTGTAGCTTGGGGAGATCATGTTGCTTGTACAGTTCATCAACTTTCTTCATTTCATTGTTTTGTGGAATGCTTAGTTCCAGCTGTAGGGAGCCTTGTCATTGTCTTTGTTCATCTTTCTTGTGATGCTGCTGATCAGCAGTACCAACTTAATGAAATAGCTACTTTGCTCTCGTTTGTTTCTCTACCATCCTTTGTGGTGGGTGATTTTAACTTTCTCCTCTCTTCCAATGAAAAAATGGGGGAGGGGGGGGGGGGGGACTGTACCCTCACTGGCTGCTTTGGACCAACTAAATGAGTTCATATTGTCTAGTGGCCTCTTTGTCTTAGGATTTCAGGGTTCACTGTTCACTTGGTCCAATCGGCGTGCAAGTGGGGAGCAAATCTTAGAGCGGCTGGATCAATTACTTGGCAGTGCATCAACGATGGCTAAATGGTCGGACATGAAGGTAATCCACCTTACTGACTTAGGCTCTGATCATCGGATGCTTCTTGTGCAGCTCATCAAACAGGGGCATCAACCGCATACCAGGTTTCAATTTGATGGGAGATGGAATTCTAATACCGAGGCCCTGGATATAATTCAATTGGCTTGGTCCAAACCCACTTGTGGTTCTATCCAATTCCAAGCCTTTAATCAACTCAAAATTGTTCGCCATGATTTGGTTGACTGGGCGAGAGTGGGTACTTCAAATTCGGCTCGTCGCATTAGGGAGCTCAAGGCTGCAATTCCGGACCTCAGAGAGGTATCAATGGTGGATTGGGATGCTATTAGCCAGTTGGAACGGGCCCTCTCGAATGCATACGTGGAAGAGGAATGTTAATTGCGTCAAAAGTCCCGAGTTTGTTGGCTTCGTGAAGGGGATGCTAACACCAACCTCTTTCACCGCACTGTGCTTCAACGAAGACGTTTCAATTTCTTGAGAGGGCTAAGAGATGATGTTGGAACCTTACATCATGAAGAAGATGCCATGGTAGGTATAGCTATTCCATTTTATCAAACTATATTCACCTCTAACAATATGGATGCCTCATCATATGTGGAATCTTTGGGTATCTCTAGCAGAGTCACTAGGGCGATGAATGATCATTTGATAGCTCATGTCTCGGATCTGGAAGTCAAGGAGGATGTGTTCCGGATTGGTAGCCATCAGCTTCCAAGCTCATTGGGAGGTGGTGGGCCCGCTGATCACTGATGCGGTCCTCAACTTCTTTAGCTCCGACCGACTTCTTCACAACTTTAATCACACTTTGATTTCCTTACTGCCAAAGGTACTCAATGCAGACTCAATGCGTCAAATCCGTCCCATAGGTTTGTGTCGGGTATTTTACAAAATCATTGCAAAACTTATGGCTGCTAGGCTCAGTGTGATCTTACCTGATGTTGTGAGTTCCACCCAAAATGGTTTTGTGCGTGGTAGATCGATTATTGACAATATTATGATTGGCCAAGAAGTTATGCAATTTTTGAAAACTAAAGTGCAGGGTCGAAATAAATGGATGGCACTTAAGCTGGATATGAAAAAAGCTTATGACCGGGTTGAATGGTCATTCTTGTTGATGATTATGGAATAGATGGGGTTTTGTTACGAATGGAGGCGCTGGATTAATGCTTGTATCTCCACTGTATCCTTTCTGGTCTTGATTAATAGGCATGCCCATGGGTATTTTAAGCCCCAACGGGGTTTGCGTCAAGGTGACCCCCTCTCCCCCTTTCTCTATGCCATCTATACTGAAGCATTTTCGGCTAAACTGTCAAGTGAGATCATGGCTGCGAATTTACACGGTTTACAGGTCCATCGGCATACGCCTTTGACTTCCCATTTATTTTTTGCCGATGATACTTACCTGTTCTTGAGAGCCTCCTTGCGGAATGTACTAATCTGCTTTCTCTGTTGGACGAGTTAGAGAGGGTTAGTGGTCAAAAAGTCAACCTTGCTAAATCTTCTATGTGTGTTAGTTCTAATGTCTCTGACCAGGAGCGAGTGGCTTTGGGAACTTTTCTTGGGGTGGCTGACTCTAGTACTCTCGACAAGTACTTAGGGTTGCTGGTGCATATCCAACGGTCCAAGACGCAGACATTCAGGTTTGTTGAGGAGGGGCTAGCTGCTCGGATCCGGTCGTGGAAAACTAAAGCTATGTCTTTGGCTGCCAAGGAAACAGTGATAAAATCTATTGGATCGGCTTCCTCTATATATGCTATGTCTGCTTTTCGGCTGCCATCTTTCACCTGTCGCAGGTTAAATGGTCAATTCTCTCGATTTTTGTGGGCTGGTCAAGATAAAGAAGACGGTATGCATTGGCTTTCATGGCAGGAGGTGTGTCTTAGCAAGTTTGCTGGGGGGCTAGGATTTCGCGATTTTGAACGCTTCAACATCGATCTCTTGGCTAAACAAGCTTGGCGGGTACTCATGAATCTGGATTCAACATTGGCGTCACTATACCGAGCGCGATATCACCCCCACACCTCATTCTTGGAGGCGACCTCGGGACCAAGGCCGTCCTGGGCTTGGCAGGGCATCTTAGCTGGGAGGGATCTTCTTTTGCGTGGTCTCCAATGGAGGATCAGGGATGGGGCATCGGTTCAAGTACTTGCAGATAAGTGGCTTCCGTCATCCCCTCCCTCCTCTCCTCTATTGCAGGCGCATATTACTTACTGCCCTGTCTTTGTTTCTGATCTTATTTGCCCCTTTTCTCGGTCCTGGAATGTGGAACTTCTTAACAGCCTGTTCATGCCATCCTCGGTGTCATAAATTTTATCCATTCCTCTACTCTTTCAATCCTCTCCAGATAAGCTCATTTGGCATCATTCCCCAACTGGAGAATACACTGTTAGAACTGGTTATCATGTCCTTACTGATGAATTGTTGGCTTTGCATCCTCCCTCTCCGTTGTCGTATGATTACAGGTTCTGGAAGTTATTTTGGAGTTTACCTCTCCCGCCTAAACTTAAGTTCTTTTGGTGGCGAGTGGTTCGAGGCTTCCTTCCTGTTCGGGCGGTGCTACAAATCAAGCGGATTGTGGCGGATAATACGTGCCCGGTGTGTTCTGCAGGGGCTGAAACTCTTTCTCATACTTTCCTCCACTGTCGGGTGGCCACAGAGCTGTGGGAGCTTGCTGGTTTGGGTTCCCTTAGAAGGAGACTGGTGGGTTTGTCCCCTTCTGATTGTTGGAATGCTTTATTCTTTTCTTGTAATTTGTCCAAGAATGAGATTGCTGATGTTGTTTTCCTCTGCTGGCGAGTGTGGAAATCCCACAGCTGGGCACTCCACAAGCACATTCAATATTTAGGGTCGCCCTTATTTCGGCAATTCAGAGCTCAGGTTGAGGAGTGGCAGCACACATCATCTCCGTTGACGCTCCATAGGGATGGCGGTGGGGCATTTCGTTCACGAACGGGTTCGGGACAGGGGGCTCGCATTATGCCGACATACGGGATTTGCCCAACTGGTGGCGTCCTTGTTCGTTTTGATGGAGCTTGGAGGAAGGATGTGGGAGGCGGATTAGGATTTGCTGGCTTCTCCCATAATGGTCAACTTCTCTTCGCATTTGGGCGGTATTACCCAGGTGTTTCTAAACCTTTTCTTTCTGAATTATTAGCGCTCAGCGATGCGATAAATTGTTGTGTTTTGCATGGGTTTGTCTCTGTCAATTTCTGTGACGATTGCCAGCCTTTGATTCGTAGGGTTCGCACGAGGGATGTGACTCATGAAACAGGCAGTGCGATTTTGGAGGAGATTTGCGCGGCGTCCGCGTCGTTTAGTTTCTTTGATTGTAATTTTACTACGAGGTTGTACAACAGGGCTGCCCATTTAGTGGCTACTAATGCCCTTTCATCGACCGTTCGACTACTGGTCGACTATTGCGTTTGGGTATCAAGTGTCGTGTAATATCTATGACTTCCCCTATCTATGAAAAAAAAAAAAAATAGTGTAGCCTTGTAGCGGGCTGCAGATTTCAAAACTTGGGGAGTCCCGTCCAATTGCAAAAGCAAAGCAACCCAACCAACTGGCATTTGTCTCTGTTCTCTTCCTCAGAAAGTCTTTTCTTTACCTTTTCCCCTCTTCACCTCTCATTTCTTTTCCCCACTTTTCAGACCTTCTGTCTCTTCTTCCTCTCTGTGGCATTTCACCAAACACTTTGCTTGCTTCAACAGTTATTCCAGCAGGTCCAAAGCTTTTGCACTAAATTACCGGATACGAAACCAGGGTGGTTTCCCTCCTGCTCTTATTCTTGCTTGATTCGTGTCCCATCTGATAGTTGTAACAGGAAGCTCACGTGGGAGATGGACGGGGCACAGTTGGAACTAGAGCGGCGAAGCAACTTCTTGAACAGCTTGATCCAGAGAAAAAAAGCTACCGACCAGCAAGACCAGTTCGACGTTCGGGTTAGGGCTTCGGATATGCCCATCCCTCTGCAGACCCGGGCTTTTGCGTGTGCGCGTCAGCAGCTGGACTCCATGCCTGGCAACAAGGTCGACAGTAAGCGCCTTGCGTTGGCCTTAAAAAAGGTGAGAGCTTTGCCTTCACCAAACCACTGTGTCTCCCCCATGTTGATGCTGAATTGGATTTCCGGGTCTCGAGTTTCAGTCTTGCTATGCTAGGAAAGTCGAGTGGTTTTAGGTCTTCACAGCTGATTGCTGTGCTTCGCAAGGTGTTTTCCAAGCTGTTTGATCTTTTTCATTCTTGAGTTGAGATTGAATACCCATCATTATCATCACGAGACATGAATGTTGTGGTTGGGTGAGGAGGTCAGTCAGTTACTTATGGTTATGGGTATCCATGCCTTTACCAACCTGGCTGGGTGGGCTCTATTAATTCTATTTCCTCAACATTTAATAAGGTTTTCTCATCAATACTCTGCTACATGAAAATGAAAATTCACCCCTTCACTATGCCAGCTTTGCCATCTCGTGATGCCTTCCATAATCTTATGCGGCATGGAGTTGGCCTAGTTGAGGCCAGAAATGCCTTTGCCTTGAGAAAATTTTCTCAACATATTATGGATGGCATGAGCTGGGCAATTCATGTTTATTTTGGTACTGGATGGCTTTAGTAACTTGCAATGACTTCTATCAGTCGTGGCAAGGAAAGAAGATTGGCATACATTCAATACCGCTTCATAAAGATATAGAATAGGAATGGATGATTATGTGATGTTAAATATCGAAACAAATAACTAAAAACTGACAAGGTAGGGATAGCATAGCATGCCATGAACAACTCTATCATCGAGTATTGTTCATCAGTTTGCCTTGGATTTGGATATGACAGTGGAACTTTCTCTGCTTAGTATGAAGTCGAAGTTGCACATATTTGATTCAGCTCTTCTACCAGTAAAAATAACAGGAGTCCAACTCCAAACCTCCTCTTCAATGTATAGAGTTTGTTTCTAAGCTCATCAAGTCATCAGCTCGCTAGTTAACTGTTTAGTGGGGGTGTGACTTGTGAGATAGGGAAAATGCAATTTCAAGTGATGGATTTGCAAAAGGCTACTGATGCATGTAAATATGTACAAAGGGCTCTGGCAGCTATATTACATGGGTTGGGGGGGAGCAAGGCCTTCCCATATTGGCGGTCTCAGCTCTTCTGCATCAGCCAGAAGTCATTTTTCATGCACTCTATAATAACCACACAAAAAATTCCCCCTGTTTTCCCAGTCCATTTCTGGTGCTGCTGTTTACTTAGTTCTTTGTGGGTGAAAATACAAATACAATTGGAACCTTCCAACTTCACTGGATGTTGGCCTTTTGGATTCTGGAATAATCAAACAGCTTGTGCACTGTGTTTCATTGATCCTTTTGCGGGTGTGGTTTGGGGTTGTTTTTTGTTGCAGGAATTTGATGCTGCACACGGTCCAGCTTGGCATTGCATTGTTGGGACAAGCTTTGGTTCGTATGTCACTCACGCCATAGGAGGGTTTCTATATTTTTCTATCGACAAGATATACATTCTCCTCTTCAAGACCGCAGTTGAACCTTTTGATCGCTCAGAATGACACAACGTATATATCTATGCTGTCACTAATTTTCCTTTCATCTACTTTGGCTTCTTTCTTAGTCCATTACTAGCCTGTTAGTCTGTACTCTCTGGCGGGTATTCTTACTTTACTAAATTGGCGGTTCTAATGTTTTACGATTCTTTCGTGATGTTATGAAAGTAGGATCACATTTCACAGAGTTGGACACTAATCTTATGAATAATGGCAGTACTGAAAGCAAAATAACAATTATATCCACATCTAAATGCTCAAAAGGTAGTGTTGGTGGTTCAATGAAAGAGGAAAGTTTAAAAAATTACTTGGATTCAGCTAACTTTACATGCTTGGGGTTGTTTATCCTGTAGATGGGGAACCGGAGATGGGAATGACAATATTGTATAGAGATAGAAAAATTATTAACGAATCACATATACACATTCCATAATGCGGTTCTCCATTTTATGGAACCTTGAACATCTTTGTGCTCCCACTCATAAGAGCAATTTCCCCTCTTCCACATTTTATACCATATAGCAAAGAAGCTTGTTGACATCTCTTCCACATTTTATACCATATAGCAAAGAAGCTTGTTGACATAAATAAGATTAGTTCGATAAGAATCTCATCTCGCCCTGTCTGTTAAATCATCAAGCTGGGAACCACGTTTAGTGCAACTTCTTTGGTTAATTGGATCATTAATCATTTCACCCTAGCAATCAATTCCAATAAAATAATTTCACTCAAATTTCATTAGAATATTAAATCCAGAAGAAATGAGTCTATCTACACATAATATAATAGGAGGAGCAAAACAGTTGCTCCATTTCAAATTTCTTACAACGAGAGTGAAAGTAGAAAGGGCATTTTGATCTTTAGAATTATTTATTTCTTTTCATTTATTCATAAAAAAAGACACGAATTGGGACTCAAACCATGGTCTCTTTAAAGAAAAGCAAGGATCATAACAAATCACACTAAGTGAATTTGTTGTATCTTTTTAATTTAAAAACATAAACAAACCTAATATGGTAATTATATGACTTTTTCAACGATTAGTTGGCCACTGAATCTCGCGTAAGTACTTATTTGATGTTTTGATACTTTGACTTTCATATTTTGATTATTTTTTTATTGTAGTTTAATACTTAATTTAAATTTCTATCGATCTTATAAATATATGATAAGTTGATAACCTTAAAATTGCAACCCAAATTTCATTGGTTCGAATATTGCATATCGAATTGCAATTTTAAATATATAGAAGCAAAGTCAACTTCTTAAATTAGTTTTAGTTTAGCAATCATATTTTTGTGCAAACTATATGAGACTAGTACTTTTAACCTTTTCATTCGGGTTAACCACTGCGTTTTAAACCTCTTTCTAATCTGACATGATTGGTCCCAATGATCCTTATACAAGAGATTGAGGTGGCTCATTTCACCAATTTTTTGGCGTGTTAATAAATTTGTAGGACAATGACATGTTTACACGTACACTTATCACTTATCACTATCTACACATAATATAAAAGTGAAATGAGGGATCCATTTCAAATTTGTTGCATCTAGAGCAATTTTTTAGGAGTAAATTTAGAAGGCTCCAGTGCAGCCGGCCTGTTGAGCACGAAAGTGAAAAAATGTTTTGATTTAAATGGGCCCAAACTGTGATTTGGCCCACTAATCGTTCACCTATCGCAGCCTTGCCAAAGCTTCCTATTCTACTCGTCGGGTCATCTCCTCCCCCACGAACCTACTCTCTTCTTGTTCCAAAGTTCTCACTGAACCCTAATCTCTACAACCTAGGCCATAGATACTAATTGGAATGCGCAAAGGGAGCAACCAACTGATTGCAGCTACCCCCGCTGTTCTGATAGTGATAGCTAATCAAGAAGACAATGTTTGTTCAGCTGTAAGGTGATTCACTTAATATAACACACTCCACTCCATTGACAACCTCCTCTCCTCAATTGTATTGTGTTCACGAAGATATGAAGGTAGCAAGTGCAATCGGCACAGGGGTAATCGATATGTATAAAGCGAGGACCAAATTGAATTGAGTCGTTCTACTTGTAATATGAATATTTTTGCTTATTGCTTTGGTTCGTGATGCGGCTATGTATGAAGGTAGACCAACGCAAATGGCAGTACAGCTCTTGAGCTATTTTGCACATCAGGCAGTTGGGACAATTGATAATGATTTGGGATTATTCCAAAAAGTACAGAATTTGGAACGTGCCTTTATATTGCAATGGTTTATAGTGATTTGTGATTTTTAAAATGCGTGATTTGACATGTTAAACTCTCCTATTTTTTAAATTAAACCTTAGAAGTGGAATATGAAGTTTTTTTTTTAATTAAACTTGGTTTCATAATGCCCTTATGGATGTTGATTCCCTAAAATGTAGTTGTATTTCAAAGTAACCAATCACAAATGGCAGGTCAAGATACAGTGATGGTACCAGTATACGTTTATATCATTCGTAGGAAGCAGATTGAATTCAATCTACAATATCGTTTAGTTAAATGCTCAGTTGTTCTTTTCAACTAAAAGTTGCGCTTAATATTGTAATTGGCCTGAGAAATGTATGTCTTTGCATTAACTGTTAATGATTATGAGTTTTAGTTTAATGGTGAAAAGTCCATTTATTTAGAAGTAATCTAATGCTTGAATTTCATTTTGAATTTTTAACTGGACAAACTTGTTGGAAAATAGGCAGGACATACATTAGTGTCGTGGGAGGTTTGTTTGATGTCTCAAGGTTTTGACGTTTCTAGAGGGTTGTTTGTTGTGACAGAGAGTCCCTAGAGCTAGTGAGGTATTCCTATGCGGGCTTTTCCGTTGTTTGACTGTTTCTCGCCTTTTTCTTTATCTCTTTTTCTATTTTTGGCTTTTGTGTACCACCTTCAGCTGTTGGGTCTTCATTTGCGAGCCATCTGCACTTTTCTTATTCAATGCCTAAAATCATATATACTCGATTGCACAGTAGTACTAAGAGGTACATTTAAACCAATAGCGAGCTTTTAACTTTTATCAGTTGTTAGTTTCAATATTTACTTAAATTGGTTATTTATGTAGTTTTCTTTAAGGGTGTTCAAATGGTTACGATAGTTATAACCAAACCAAATAAGGCTAAATTCCATTAACCATGGAATACAATATCATAACCAAACCGTCCAAACTAATACAACAACCAAATTAACCAAACTAAAGTTTAATCGGTTTGGTTAATTGGTTAACCAGATTAACCAATATAAAATCACATTATCATTGACGATGAAAATTTTCCGGTTAATGCAACAATTCGCAACTACTGGAAAGATCATAGCGGAGAAGTCGATTTATATAATGAATAAAACATAACAACCAACTAGTTATAATTGACCCTTAACAAAAATACATGCAACTAAGACAATTATCTTACGATTAGTATAGAAGTATTCACCTAACAAAAATTTATGACAATGGTATGGGTTAATGAATTGTTGTGTTTGTGTAAATTGACTTAGTCTCTTAGCAATTATCATAGGCTGGAAATGACATTCCTTTCAAGTTTTCATCCATCATAATGTATGAAATTTATCTAAATTAGGCGTCCATATGTTGTGGTCTACATTTTACATATACAAATATACACTATATGAGCAATATTGAGCTTTATATTTTATGAGTCTAAAAGGGATGAACGATAACTCTTGAGTGGTTATGCAAAGTATTAAGTATGTGTATATAATATATGTTAGATATATGACTAATTACTTAACTGGTTAATTTGGTTTGACTGGTTAGGAGTGTCTGAAATCAAACCAAACCACGTAAACCAAACAAGCTAAAAACTTTAACAAAATCAAACCAATTATCCAAATTAACCAAACCAAATTAACCAAATAGTATCGGTTAAAACGGTTACCATGGTAACCAAACCGTTTGAACACCCCTAGTTTTCTTTGTAATATTTTGTCATTATACAACTAACTACTATGGCTACGTAGTTGTATAAGTGGGGGTTGGGCATGATAGTTCTCAGAAGCATCAATAGTTGAAGGCTATTATAATGAACATCTTAAAGTTATGGTTTGCCTTCAACTTGCTTGGAGCATTTCATATATACTTCAATTGTTCTCTCTGTGTAGTTGGCTCTCAAAAAAATCGAAAATCTTGCTGATTTGTGCTTGATTGTAGTTAAATCTAGGGTTCTTCTGCCTTCTTCAAAGTCTTCGGTTTAGTTGCTGACTCCAAGGTCATCAGGGTTCCGCCCTTTGACTGTTAATATAGAAGTAGGTTATAGTAAATCTCGGTGAGTGCAATATTATTATTTTTCCGATTGTTATATATTGTTTTGCCTAGAAATAGTATGAACATTATATCATTTGACACAATGCATAGTTTGATTTCTTGATTACTATTTAAGTGGAGTTGATCTAGCTGATTGGCATTCATGTAGTTTACTGGTATGAAGCTGCTCCTCTTTGAATTACAGAAATATGCATAGCCTGCTATTTGAACAAAACCCCTTCCTCGAGCTTATTCCTTTCTCTCCTCTGCAAGTTGTTTTCTTATTTTTTAGTTGTCCTTCCTAAATGTATATGCTAAGGTTTCTTTTCTTATATGAAAATTTTGGCTAAATTACACGTTTGGTCACTCGAATTATACAAATCTTTCACGTTTTCCACCCGAATTACTTTTCTTTCTTATTCACCACTAACTTTACTAATCCTTTCACCGTTAGTCACTGGCTGTTACACTCCGTCAAATTTGTCCTACGTGGCAGTCAACTATAAAGTTAGACGGTTAACTAGATGACGTGGAAATTAAAAAAAAAAATTTGTCCACCTCATCATTCCACTTACTTTGTGTATATGATTTATCATATTACCTATTTAATAAAAATTAATTAAATTACAAAAAGAAATAAAATGATTAATTTATTATCCACCAGTCAAGATCCGACGGACGAGATTGCCGTTGTAGGTTGCCCTTCGACGGCCATCCCGTCTCCGAAACTACCATCTCGATGTCGTCCAGCTTCAGTGCCAACATTGCTGCGAACACGGTGTTGATCTGGGTGTCAAAGAGGTTGAAGTACCTCAGCCCGCTGCCGATGTTGACAACGCCTGGATTCTCCTGGAATAGAGCGTACATAGTCCAGCTAGATGACGTCGGAGTTCGATTTGTAAGCAAAGAACGGGTAAGCGTTCACCTTCAGATACGAGTCGGTCTCGCAGAGGCACTCTAGC